AGTCGACACAAAATCGTTTAGTCCCGTCCTTCTTCCGGATTAACACAACATTCGCAGACCGGGGACTATCAAATGGTTCGATAACCCCTCGCTGCTGCAAATCTCCAACTTGCCTCATTATTTCCTCCTGATTACACAGGGGATGGCGCCGGGGCCTCTCCTTGATTGGCCTCGCATCACCAGTACTGATGTGGTGCTTGACCACATCAGTCCGCCCTATGTCACCCTCACCAGAAGAAAATACATCATGAAATTCAATCAAACAAGCCTTCACCTCCTCGTGATGTTCCTCACTGAGGTTGACTTTGCTCCGGTCGTACAACTCGTGCAGATGAGACGGCAGGTCACCATAGACCTCACACCCACGACTCTCACCTGGAACTACTATCGAATCGACTTCAACTGTTGCAATAGTGCCCACAGTTGTTCCCCGCCAACAACTCGACTCTCCTTATTCGGATTGAATATCAGCAGAGCGAGAGACTCGGGTTGTGACTGAACCAGCGACCGGGCTAGAATTAGCCCTCGCTGAGCCAACTCGCCCCCACCTTCCACAGGCTCGATGATTGCCGGCTGTCCCAATGCCGCAGCGATACTGCTAACAGTACCAGGCACAACAGCCTCATGGCCCGCAGGAATCTCCGTGGTTTCAGCTACCATCACCCTGCCAACGAACGGCTCTCCGGCACCACTTGTGCATTTTACCCGGTCCCCGTTTAACCTCAACTCAAGGCTTTGGAAATCTAAATTACCTCCAGTGGGTAACAAGAAATCCATGCCCAATATGCCAATATGCAGCGCCCATTACAGCCAATGGACTCCCATCAACTTGCTGAATGCTGGACTCTTCTGCTTCCACCACAGGCCTCTGTTCCTTGGCAAATCTATGGTAGACACGACTACTAATTAGTGTGTCGGTCGACCCCGAATTCACCAGGAACCTACACTTTGCTCCCCTCACAACACGATTAACAAACAGCCCATACCTAGGCCGAGTACCACTGCTTGGCCGAGTGCCTACTGGCTCTCTGCCTTCTGGTCCTCGCCTACCGGCGGCTTTGTCAGTCCCCGACTCTTGTCCTCTCTTGGGCCCTCGGAAATGCCCAGCCTGCCCGCGGGCCCACCGGTCGGCTGGCTGGCGTTTCCCTGTGCCCATCTCTCCTTACGAGGTTTGGTACATTCCCGTCTGAAATGACCGACCTCACCACACTTAACATTTCAACCCACCAGGCGTTTTCCTTTCAGGCCTTGGTGACTGCCTCTGAAGAAAACTCGCCTTGTTGCCCTGAGCTAGACCTTGCTGGGTGAGCCCTGCCAGGAGCTCAACCACTTGGTCTATTTCTTTGTCTGTTGACCGGCATTTTTTTCTAACCTTAGAAGACGCCTCTCTGTGTCAGAGTCGACTGCCCTAGTAAACTTCACAGGTTTACCTTCGGCCCTTCTCTCACACTCAACCTTCTCAAAGTTCTCGGTCTCAAGGGCAGCACGTATAGCTTCGTCCAATGTCTTTGGGCGATCGCGATAAACGCCTTCCCAAACGACCTGACTAGTCACCGCATCAACGAAATGATTCTTCCCCAGGCGCTCCCGTGCCTCTTCGGGGATCTCAGGGTAGGCCTTCAACGTTAAATCACGGATTGCCTGTCCCAACTCCTGAAGAGTTTCCTTAGGCCCCTGACGTAGGTGCCCTAACTCCACCAAATAATTTTCGGCCTGTCGTCCAGGACCGAATCTCTTTGACAACACCTTCACAAGTTAACTATAAGTGAACTTCTTTGACCCATCACCGTTAATACGAAGTGCCTCACCCTGGAAACAAGCGGCCAAAAATTCGGTCGTTCGCTCCTCACTCCACTGATTCACCTGCTTACACGCCTCAAAGTGGCGATAATAATCGTTCCACAGAACCTTACCATTATACCGGTCGGGGGTAATTGTAGGCCTGCGAGGCCTACCATCGTGAGGTTTACCGCCCACCTCATCACCCACCAACCGTGACTCCCTTTTAAGTGGCCATGGGCCTACTCCAGGTGAGTCAACCTCATCGTCAACCTTGTTGGATTTTCCCACAGCGGAACTAGTTGCAAAACTCAGCAACTCACTGTGTAAAGCTCGCTCCTTTTTAGCACAATCTTCCTTACGGTTCGAGAAGGGATTGGTGCAAGGACTTTGCGTGGGAATAAACCTCAAGGGTGTACTCTCCGCGTAACTTGCGTCCCTTGGAACCAACTTGGGTGACGTGCCAACACCAGAATGATCGCGTGCCACTGAGGCATACCCTGAGGTATCCTCCGGGAACTTCCAATTAATCTCAGAATCAACCTCAACCAAAGGTGTAGCCCTATTCTTAGGGATCCTCACTCACAATCTTTGGCTGTGCCCCCTTTCTGACAGCCTCTAACTCCGAAGAGAGACGAGCCCTCTCCCACTTCAACCACTGAACCTCCACTCTTGAGTGGTTAAGCTCATCAGGGACACAGCCCTTGTCCGCCTCCACCGAGGTGACACCGCTGTCCTTACTCATACTGACGTTTCCTCCTGACTCAGTCTCAGTCTCAGTCTCCACCAGACTCGCTACTCCTGGCCACTGACCACTCGGCGATAACGGTACCTCACCAGTAAACTCAGGCTGCGGGACCACTTGTCCAGGGCCTCCCGAATTTACCAAAACCTGCGTACCGACTACCACCCGGTGGATTCTCAACAGGATTGGCAGTTGCTGTCTCGCAGTATGTCGCAAAGATCGCGACTCCGCTCGAATCCCCAACAGAATCCACACACCAACTAACAATACAACAAACAAAACAATACCCAAAGCAGTAACGACCCAGATTAACATAACCCGCTAACCTCGTCACCAATAATCCTGGCAGTGTACCTCACTGAGGTGCACTGTCTAACAACAAAACAGAAAAATGAATCACACTGTATTACTCTTTATTCCAAGTTCACAAGTTACAGCAATTGAATTTATACGATCACAAATGATCCCACTTCTGACACCATTTGTGGCGGAACCGGGGGGCTGGCGGAACCCAGGGGGACTGGTCTTGTTTATCCCAGGACTCCAACCCACACCTATTATCCCACAAAAATATTTATTAGCCTAACAAATGGGTGAGCGGCTACCCAACCGAAAGGGGGGACAATTAACGAACGGTGGACTAAACCTAGGGATTGTTCGTTTGGTGGAAGTATACCACCGTTTTGAAATTAATTGAGAGGAACTAGAGCAACACAAGTAGCGAAAGTAGGCCTCAAGGTGAATCAGGTAACCCTCACGGCAGACCTAGGTAACCCTCAGCGAACCTGAGTAACCCTCCCAGTGATCCTGGTAATCCTCACGATGAACCTGAGTAACCCTCACAGAGACGAGTGATTCCAAAGACGATTATAAATATGATTTATTCAAGAATCTCAATCATCAATGGGTTTGTTCAATAATCACTACAATAATTTACAATAATATACAATGTACGAGGTGATAGATATCATGGACGTAAATATCTCACACAATAGGCAATAACCCTCACCCGTTACCGCCAGGGTCAACTGCACCCTTTTTGAAGTAACTTAGTCTAACGTAATCCTTACGTGGTCAACTGCACCACTTAACAATATAAACAGAAAGATTAACTTTATGCGGTCAACTGCACCGTGTGTAGTAATTTATACAATTATAATGAAGTAGCACAGTTCTAATAACCCTCACACAGATTGAACTGTCCCTATGACTCTTACACAATAAAGGTAACCCTCAACCCGACTCAGCGTCAAAGCAGGTTGAACTGTGTAATTCCAATAGCCCTCACCCAGGAAAGGTAACCCTCAACACGATTACCCAATATAACCCTTATGTGCAATAACCCACACACACAAAATCGGTAACCCTCACAAGTGCTCAGAACCCGGCGAAGAGTAACTCGTTAGGCCAGCTAGTTCAACGATTACGGCAATGAACGCCTCAGTCGTAAAACCCCACCGAATGGTGTCCAACCCACGACAAGCAATCTACTACCGAATCACAGTCCCACTAGCCTCTCAAACCAAGTTCCACAACTCCTAGCCCCTTATGTTCTAGCACTAATTAATCAAGACAAAATAGTCAGTCTTAATTCCCGACTAAATCTTTGTCACCAATTCTCCCAGATAATAGACAGTTAATTGAGTCAATAACAAAACCTGTGAGACTCCACCAACTCACCGGTCGCACCTTGTATGTCGATCGGACGTTGTCCCTAAATCTGAATAACCCTCAGGATTTAGCACGAGTTCTCGCAGAAATGATACACAATGAGGTCTCGGGTTTACATCACCGTCGCCATGTTGAAACGAAGAGGCTTGACAATGTCAAGCACCTCTTTATAAGCGCCCCGATTTGGGGCAATGCGCGCTGGTGATTGGCTTACGCGCGTTCATGCATTATTGATGCTCAAGTCACGCCATATAATTCATTGCGGATTGGTCTACGCGCGCCATTAATATTAACGACATATGCGCGCATACATAATTCATAGATTGGACTAGTCTGTAGGTACCCTGTTTCGCCACAGTATTTCCGTTAAAGACGAATGTCGGCCTAGTGATAAAATTTCGAGGAAGAAAACCGTTATAGAAACAGATTTAAAAGGAATTCTGATACGTGGTTAGTTTTACTAAATTTAATTATACGCCAACACCTGGTCGACTTTTTGAGTTCAGTCACGTTTGGATGTATAGGTGTTGTTTTATACCAGGAGTTGAGCAATAAAACCAGTGTTTTCAACAAATATCAGGAGAGTGTGATGAACAGTCGTTCTGATTGTGTGATATACTGTCGTTCTGATTGTGTCTAGACATCCCCTTCCCCCTTCCCAATTGACACGCTGCATCATTAATGCAACATTTACCTTGTAGCAGGTCCAGATCTGCAAGGGCCAACGGAAGATTCCTCATTGTCCCATGACTATTATTCCGAGAGTTCATCAGAGTCATCTGTTGATCCTACAGTCTCACCAAGCATGGAAACTACTGAAAGTCGGAACAACGAGATTGTAACGACGGAGACTGTAACACATCGTGGTATGTGTAGTCACTGATATGGTGAAAAATTGCATTGATAGACAGTGACTTTCATCATGTATTCTTTTTATTGAAGAGATATGGCAATGGACCTCTGGCCCAGAATTGGGGCTTCCAATTCTGAGCATTTTTGATGCAATTGTACTCGAAACTGGCGCTATTTTGAAATGTTGTGGATGGATCGTTTTTTAAGATTGCTACTTTTCCGCTTTGGAAAATAGGGGACGTCTTCATTGGATGAGATTTGTTCGAAACAAGAAAGATTTTCTAGTATTTTTTTTTTTTTTAATTGAAGTATGGGCATTTAGCATTGGTGCCTATATACAGGGGTTCATGCATCCATAGGCAGATGAAGAATTAGCGTAACGTTCTCATTGGGCCACGACAACAAAACGACTACAATAAGGGACACCAGTAAAGCTTTCCTCCGGGATTAAGTACTTGATTAAGGATCCTGTTTAAGCAAAATTTGTTTTCATTTTGAAACTCTAATTGATCAAGAGCAAAAATCTCTATTCGACCAAAATACGCTCATGTGACGTCACTTGCACTGTATAAATACCACGACAAAACGGCCAATAAGTCCAGTTTAAAAAAAATATTCTACAAGTTCATCGCAGTGAGTTACTTTCTCATGAAGACAACGTCGACTGCCTTGCGTCTAAGCTGCCTCAATGCCATTTCAATGTCGCACGATTCACGCTCGTACAGCGCCTGAGTTGCGTCATTACGGCGCCCTGGCCAGAGCGCAGAGATGTTGCGATTGTTTTGAGCATGTTAAAAAACCTTTGCGCTCATCGGAGACCATTAAGACCCTCTGGCGCCCATTTGGCGACCCATGTAGTTGTCGCTGCGATCTAGTAGTTGTTGTTGCGCGCCAGCTATTTTTCAAGGACGCAGTGAGAGAGCATATAAGATCGCAGACAGTGTGACAGGGCCTTTAATAGTGAATCGCTTAGCATTTTATCGACGTAGCATTTATATTCTGCTTTGTTGAATCACGCTCGCTGACAATTTTCGATCATGTGGGAAATATATGACACCATTTTTAATTCGACCCCAATCTCTTTTTCGTTTAAGACGACTACGCGGCCTGCGGGTACAGTGAATATGCAGAACGGAGGATATTTGGAAGGATATCCGGCGGCACTGATGCTGCAGAAGGCCAGTGGCCCTGGCAGGTGGCGCTCTTCTGTCATCGGAACTGCAGAAGATGTGAGGTAGTAATGCATTATATTCTTGGTTGTTTTAAAGCAATGCATGTAGGCCTAAAAGTCAAAAGACCACCATTAGGCCAAAAAAAAAAAAATAGTCGATCTCTGGTCAGACCGAAGTTCCGGAATTGATGCGGCGACGCGGGTTGTTTTTTTTTTTTTTTTTGGGGGGGGGGTGTTTTTTTTCAAGCTTGTATTGTACAGACAAGGTGGGTACTATTTTGCATTTGTGTGTCCTCATTATACATTGGTGTCTTCCATAATTTGCCTCGGTGCCCTTTATCATTTGCCTTGGTGCAATTTCTCCAATCCTTGGTGCTCCTTGGTACAAAACTTTGAGGAGGCGCGGCAATAGAGGGCGCTGTTGTAGCTTCCGTGTTAATTTGGAGGGGAAAAAAGGTTGACGTGCATGATTAAAATCGACGCGCGCGCTGACCAGAGACCGAGTATTTTTTTGTTTTGGCCTTAGCCAAGGAATCTTAAACTCTGGAACATTTAATTGTCTCGAGCAGCCAATTGCAGTCGTCCAATTGTCTTTCTTCACTTGAAATAGCTGCGCAAATCAGTTTTTACTTAACCATACATTGTGGTTTGGATTGATAAGATGTTGCAAACTTCAAAATCCCTTGCTCATTTTCCAGCCCAGGTTTTTCTGTGGTGGTAGTCTTATTGCTCGTAACTGGGTTCTGTCAGCTGCACACTGCTTCGAAAAATGCCCATGGTCTGCCATCAGAGTATATACAGGTACGGTAGGATGTTTGGACATTGGTCAAAACTTAATGATTAATGCATACATTACAATTAATAGTGTTTAATATTTCAAATAGAATATGTCGCCGTATAGAGGTCTAAGCAGGTTTCCCAGTACTCGCGTATCGGGCACCGGTTTTATACGGGCTAACAAGCCGCTACTCTCGATGATCTGCATGCATAGTCACAAGAATAAGCCAGTGATGACCTCAGTACCTCTGCACTACTATACCTGATATAATAGTTGCTCTCTTAATTCCAAAGAGTGAAAATTCACTCCATTAAAGTGAAGATTCACTCCCACAGTCGGAAACTAGCTTCGTTTTAGAATGACATTTCTTCAATCGTAAAGATCGATTTTCACTCTAAAACGTCTAGTCCCTAACTTTCACTCTTTGGAATTTAGAGAGTATTCGTGAACAATCTCATGTATGATTAAGTGTTGGGTCTGGAGCTATAGTTCGCGAAACATTTCAGATTATGCATTCTATACATTACAGCTTTCGTTCACTGATAAATTTAACGTAGGGCCCGTCTTGTGCAAAGATTAATGCAATAATAGTACCAACCTTACATAATTAAGATCGGGTCGATGGTCAATAAAACCATTATCTGGCTGAACCGACGAGTACATTTGTATCTGAAGCCCGACGCATACCTTTCCAATTTTTGGTTTATGAGATCATCGGGACATTGAACAGAGGTGTGCACTGAAAAAAAAAAAAAAAATCGGACCGATCTGACCGTGTACCGGGCAACCGGATGAAATCAAACGTTTGATTTTTACGCTTCCAATTTCACCGGATCCGATTTCACCAGACGCAATATTCATGTTGACCAATCAGATTCACGAAGAAAGTCACATGGTTGTCATCATGTGACTGATCATCATGTGACTGATCACCATATATGGGACTGATCATAGACATAATTCACTTCAAAGATTGTAAGTGGATACACTGGCGCTTACGTCTGAATGAATAATTAATTCACACTGCAGTGGCCCGTCAATTTTGTCATAGTTGTAGGACTGTATGGTGTCATGATGTTGTTTCTCTTTATTTCAGGAATTCGTAATAAATCCAGGTCAGCTCTTCGACTGTTGGACCCAGCCCTTGTGTATTCCCTTGATGGAGACGACGCCCTAATAAAGCATGAGGCGTTTAATTCGGACCTTGATAATGATATTGCCGTTTTACGATTGAGCCGTGATGTCATGCTGAGCTCAGGAATAAGACCAATCTGCATGCCAAAACTTGCTATGAAAGGTGAGGGCGTCCTTAATGTGTACTTTATAAGGGAAGCATTTACTTAAGCAGCTAGGTACATTCATAAAGAAAGACTTTCTAGGAGCGATTCCTCGACGTAGAGTGTATAGAGTGATAGTTTACTTCTCTGTTTTTAGGCTTACTAGAGTTCGTATCGACTCGACTATGAAAGTAGCTCCGAATTTATGAATTGGACCTGAGCTGGAAATGCCCAAACAATAAGGACCGTAAGTAGGACCGTAAAAAAAGTAGCTTGGACCGTACTCATTGCAATTATGGCTCAGAAGATTCCATAACGCAAGGACCCTAAAACCAGTCGAGTGAGGGCTCATTGACCCTTTTTTAATTTTTAAACTTCACTTGTTCGCAGAGCCGTTTCGGATCAAGGTCCCATTTGGTCAACCAGCTTTCCTTTCATTATTCTCGATGTCTTTTTCCCTCTTCTATATCCCTCAACCCACTAATGTTATGGTGGCATGGTTGGCTAGTGCGTAAAGCGATTGTCTCTCATCACTGTGGCCCGGGTTCGATTCCCGGCTCAGACCATTATGTGAGTAGAGTTGTGCGTTGATTCCGTGCCGAGAGGGTTTTTTTTCCGGGCTCTCTGGTTTTTCCTCACTCCGCATAACTAAAACACTTTCGATCTCTGGCTGTGGTTCCCACATGGGTCATAATGGCGGCTGTCAAAGGCGCCTTTACACGCCTTAGGCTCGGCCACGTTGTATCCGCGTCCTTCGCAATTTAGATTCTCAGTTGCAAGTAAGGATGATTAGCCCCCAAATCATTATTTTTTATCAATGTAATGATAATAAGCATTTGATTATTTCTACAATCAGAAAGAGCACTTTATTCACCACACGGAGAACCACCATATGTGGCCGGATGGGGCACTACGCAACCCTATGATTACGGTAATCTGTGCTTTGACAGATACAGGCCTACCTCGTCTCTCCTTCAATACCTGGTTATCCCCGTGCGCAGTAACAGCGAATGCAGGGACAGTTTCATCAACCACTATGAGTGTACGAGTGTGTCCGCTTACAAGCCTGCAATCGCGTTTTGTGCGGGAGTACCGGAGGGAGGCGTGGATGCGTGCACGGGAGACTCGGGAGGGCCAGTCATGAGGCAGATGACCGTTGCAGACGGCAGCAAACGATGGGTCCAAATAGGCATTGTCAGCTGGGGTGAAGGGTGCGCCGTGGAAGGTCGGTATGGTATTTACACAAGACTTTCGGCATATACCGACTGGATTGAAAGTCACACATGTAAGATGAATATACATTTATTTGAGTGTTTTGGGTCTGTTTTTTTTTAGGGGGGGGGGTGTCTTCCTTTCAGTATACTTCCTGTACAATTGCACTTCTGTCAAGTTACCAATGGCGGTTTATATGTTGGGAATTGTTCACCAGGCCCAAAAAAGAGCTCCGATATTGAATGACCATTTGAAGGCTTTGATAGCCGCACTTCTTGAGTGGGTCATTTGGTATACGTGTATATGTGGTTCCCAGTCCCTCAATCGTCGATTCTGAGTATGGCCCGAAATTGCCTACGCCAGCCAAATCACGATTTGCATGCCCTCAAATTATTCGGTATAATATCATTTTGTGGGCAAGGCCAGAACTTGAGGCTTTTGTAAAAAAAAAAAGGAAAAACAAGGTTGGAAGCCGTGAACAGGATTGTAAGATCGTATTGCTGTGAAATTTGAATGAAAATGGGTTCTACAACTTTTTGCAATGCAGCGCAGGCATCATTGTTCAAAATGGCGATAGGCTACTTTCAGTGGTGATTATGTTTGGATGGAGTTTTCTCCCAAAAATCATTGGGTAACCCCAACAAAATTCATTGGAAAATGAAAGACGATGAAATAAGCTTTAATTTGATGTGTGTCTCGAACAACTTTGAGATTTGTGAGTAATTATGGAGGTGAGCGCATATATCACTGGGGCCCATGGCAGTTTACTTTATACTGGTCTGCAACCCAGCCTATGGAATTATATTAACATAAACCGTGAATATTCCTTCCGGTGTATACTAAGCAGTAAGTATATCGCTACTTGCGCAATGAAAGGAACGATCTCTCGGTCTCTTGCAGACGGGGTCCGGGTAGGGACGGATCATTACGGCGTGTTTACAAAAACATCTGTGAGTTAACATAAGAGTCCGAGTCGGAAAATGTCCCTAAATACCTCTAAATTCAGCAACAGATAAATGAGAAAAGAAATGACATAAACTTACAGACAATGCTTTTACAGCTTGTCCAGGGGCAGGACCAGGATGCATGGCCGTGCTGTGATGATCATTGTTGCATTCGGTGCATTTCAGTGGAATCATACATACACTCCTTTGCAAAATATAAGAGAAAGATGCGCAGCACTTGAAGAAAAAAAATCATTTTCTCTGAGGAAGGCTCTTCGCACGTCTTTGGTCTTTGCACTGAAGACCCTGCATTTATTGAGGGGTTTTCGATGGATGGGGCAGCTTTTACCAGGATCACTCTTCTTTGCATCAGAGTCTGCACTCGAATCATCCGTATCTTGTGTATACGGATATGGGTGCTCTCATATTTCTAGTGGTGGATTTCTCTGCTCCCACGGGGCCGCTGTTGTTGCTGAAGATGATGAAACTTGGGTCATTTCTGGTTTTGACTTCTGAGCAGATGAATTCAGCAAAGATGTAAGATAAACCGTTTCGCGGATACCGCCATCTTGCTTGAAATTGTGATTGCGCAATGGCGCGGGGGCACACGTGACCCAGACTGAAAATCCGTAACGTAAAAGGCATGGGGAGGTTAGAGCTGCTCTGAAAAATCTTTCTTTTTTCATTGAAAAGAACACAATTTTGGATACAGATTTCTAAAAACTGATAAATGGGACTTATGAGCCGTCCATGGGTGAAAAAAAGTATTTAAAAAATACCTCACGTCCAACGGCACCGAGCTCGAAAAGGGAAAATTGATCGCAATAAAGTAGTCACGTGACCGCGCATGTAAGAACGTTGCGGAAAATTTGGTATCGCACTTACCATCCGGACACTCCTCATGTCTGGAAGAAAGCAGGCATTGAGTTCCTTTTTTGTACCTTGATCCCTTGGCTATCCATCTCTCCTGCAGGCCGTGTGGTAATTTCTCAACTATGGTATTGACACCTTGTACCGTGTCCAGGCGGCTGAGACCAGGTAAGTATCCATCCTCCATTGCGTACTGGGCCTCCATGAGCAGATCACCATGCTGCCTCAACTTGTATTGAGAGGATCTCTGCTGTTGATGCGTGGAAAACTTTCCAGTTTGTGAAAAGGACGCTTTCGATTACCTCTAGAAGATTGCTTTTTCAGCTGTTCCCATGACTTTTTCAGAGCTGTGGTCGGGTCGTTTTAACCCTCCGACGCAGAAACTAGCCCTTTTGGGGACCCAATTTGGTTAATTACCTTAATAAAAAAAAAAAATTCCAACCAATTCTGGTGATCTTCCATCTAATCCTAGCCAGAGACACCCACTACGGATATATGCAGTCACCTTTAGTGTGTGACCCCGGGTCAGGCATATCTGAGCCTGACAACCTGGGCTGCCCATATACACGTGCACAAAACAAAGTCACTTGCGGGTAGCCAAGTGCACGACTTGACCACAGACTATGTATACAACATCTGTTTCCTGTCAATGACCTCCTTATTTATAGTCTACAGACATGTCGAGATTGTATACATATAGATACTGTGTTGTGTAGCCTCAAACCAAGGCGCTAAATATCTGGGTCCCCGGAGGGACCCCTTACTGTAAGCGTGTTAGTAAATGTGCTTTCTGCGTCGGAGGGTTAATGTGCACAGCACGGATATTTTTGATGTGGTCTGATGACTCTTTCCCCAGCCATTTCGCTAGTAGGTTGAGCTCTTCGCTTGGTGTTATTCGCAGGTGTTTAATTACTCGCGTTGTGAAATGATGATCGCCAAGCTCTGTAGTTTTCAGGTCGATCATTAAAATGTTGAGTCCTGTGTTGACTAACTCACGGCGTGCGAGATAGGGGCCTACTTGCCAAAGTCGTTGCTTTGGTCTCCTGCAGTGGTCTTCTGGGGGAATGGGGACATGTCTGGTTTCCCATTGACGTCTTACTGCATTGCAAAGGATGATGTGACTTTAATGTTGGCGGGATTCACTGGTGAGGTGGGTCTAATATTGTCAGCAGGTTCCCGGCTTCGCATTGACGAAAAACCAGTCTGAAATTCAGCTCGTTGCTGAATGTAGTCTTTTGTGCGCTGATCGATGTCTGCAGGAGCCTGTGCTTAGTTTGTTGCACGACAATCCAGTTTCCAACTCCATGGCTGCTTCCAATGCCTCGGCTAGAGTTAAGGCTGCTGCTGCCTCTCTTTGGTGGCCTAGCAATCCCAACTCTGCATCTAGTTTGCCCTCTGCAACTTCATTGTTGCCTCTGCTTCAGCAAAAGATTTGCAGACTCGCATCCCATTTGTCTTCCATGATAAAGATGAGTCGCCTTGATCGTCTGCCGCAGCTGTAACACCAGCTGATTATATGTCTTTTCACTGTACTGTCCTCTTTAAAGTTTTTATAGAACAAAAATTGACATCCAGTCAAACTCTTAAAAAAAAAACGACGAGGGAGTCAGTATGTAGCGTCCAACTCCAAGTTTAATCGTCAGTGAAAAAGGGGTGAAACTGTGTAACATAATAAGTAGTAGAAAATGCACTAAGTGCTGTAGCTCAATAAGGCCATGAACGCTTATACACAGTTCAAAGTTGACTAAACACCACATAGTCTTAAATCTCAAAACATGCAATAATTAGGAATAGGAGTGCAACTATGTCAATGATCGTATCGGTCCTTTAAATAAAAGATAATACCAGCAATAACAGCACGCGTAAAGCGTGAAATAAACCTTTTCGGTTTCTATAGCCAGTGTTGTTGACTCAACTGACGCTGACTCGGACTCGAGTCGGACTCGAGTCGCTATTTTTTATTTTTTTTTACTAGCATGAGACTTGACTTGACTTGGGAAAAACATGACTTCAGACTTGACTTGACTTGAAAAAAATATGACTTGTGACTTGACTTCACTCGAATAAATTTGACTTGCTAACATTAACACATTTCGTAAAGTTACAAAAACAACACAAATCTCTGGGCGTTCGTGCGCACTATAGTCGGTTGAACTATGGTTGAAATAGCAAATTAGCAACAATATAGCTGGGCATCCTAAGCCTGCCACACGTCATGTACATGATCATGACTAGCACTATGCGTGTGTTATGGACCGTTCGACCTCGTGCATGCATGTGAGGTGAAGTTTGTGCCGTGCGTAGTCCGAGTACCATCAGTAGTGTAGGTAGACTTCCTGGTACACTTTGACCTTTGGCATAGAAATATGTAAAGGTCACATAAATATGTAAATATGTAGATACAGATATAAATATGAATGAATGGGGTTAGGAAATTCTGGCACAGTTTGACCCCTAATGAATGGATGGGATGAATAGGAAATAGGTGAGGGTAAGGAATTGGGTACAGTTTGACCTATTCTATGGGAAAGATTGCATATATGTATGGGGAAATATAAAAATGTATAGTACAATTTGACCTTAGCCCTAACAATATACATGTAGTTATGTATTTACACGTGTATTACATGCGGTTTACGCAATCCGAACAAGGCCAGCTGTGGCCGGCAGTACTTAATCCTCTCGGACAATAGACTGGTGACGTAGGTGTCCGGAAATGAGCATCGATCTGAGATAATCTGTTCGGACAATAGACTGTTGACGTAGGTGCGCTCGCGTGTGGTAAGTGTGTAATCTGTCGGACAATAGGACTTTAAGTGGCCGGAAATAATGATTGATCACTCCGTGGGGGTTAGCCGGAACAGATCGATATTTCTCGAAAGGGCCATCGTAGGCCGTGGTGTGAGGCATAGTTTTTGATAAATCGAAGGTCCAAGATAGCTAATAATCCATGCGTATGTACGGAGACTGGTCGTCGTTCCATGATGATACACAATTCATTATCTCCGTGCACCAATATTTCTCTTAATTGTTATTCGATACAATATCGATGGCACTCTTCTACACTGCCACCATAATCATCAAAGTAAAATATATATCTGTGCGCGGTGATCGTAGAAATGGAAGGTTTTGACTTTAGCCAGAGCGAATGCAAGTACACATGCACCTGTATGTGACATCCTACTGCATCTTCACACTCGTCCGATCAGATGGCGCTTAATCCACGAAGGCTTAATTATTGATTAGGCTCTATATCTTT